TTATTGATATGTCAATACAGATTTATTTGAATATAATCGTCTCCTTCAAAGAATACGGTTCAAAACCTGCATTAAATAAAGGTTAATAGTTAACCTGTTATTTATCTAAGATGTCGTTCCGAAGAGTTTTGTGACTGCCAATGGAATACAAAGTCAATAATTCGTTTTTCTGATTTACCAATCATTGTCCAAAAGTCAGATTGCCGGCTTTGATAATAGTCGACTCATCTGTATTGGGGGATATTTTGAAGTATCTCGAGATTCCAGGACATGTTTGCGATTTACTCAGAATTTAATATAGTTAAACTTGAACACGTGTGGATAAAATAGGGTATCTATGTATCTATGTATCCCGGGTAGAAAGTTTGACATTGCTTAATATTTCTACTTCATAATATGGGGAGGATATATGAAGTACGGAAATATGAAACGATGAACGGATTATTCACGTCGAAAAATATATCTCTGTGTGAAACGAGGGCATTACGTATTTTATTGTGCTTTGTATAGGCGTAGGGGTGATTCGTAATAAGGGATAGCGTGATCAGGTGTGACCGTTAAATGATATGGATTTTATCATAAAAATAAGCAACGCTGTTGTTAATTTTATTTGTGAAATCACATGTTACATTAACATCGAAAAATATTTAGATGTTTTTGTCATTGTTGATGTGTAACAATAGATGGGTACAGTGACAAACAAATGTGGTTTAGTATAATAATAGGTGCTCATACCGCTGATAGAAATCTCTTTCAGTCAACTAGCTATAGTAAATCACGCATAAAAATGAAGTTCCGCATACGTTTCACTCATACTTTAAGATTTGATGCGTAATAACAATCAAAATTACTAATAAGTCGCTGATTCGGAAAGACTCAATCAAGAATGCAAGTATTTTATGATTCCGTAAAAACGACATTGAATTGATTATGATAAAAGAAAAAAAAACAAATGAAAGAAATAAATGTCTTTATGTAAAGTTATTCATAAATAATAAGCGTTTGAACTCAGAAAATTATGCTTCTTATTTAATTTTTCCTCACGAAACAAGAAAATTACGTATGATTATCCGTTACGTAATACAAATGAGAGAGACATTGAGCGATCGACCCAAAAACGTGTTCCCACTGACATGGTGTCTGATGAATTTGATAAGTATTGAGTTATCTGAACTTATTGATCAATTGGTTTTGCCGATACGAAAATGTCAGGTCATATTGTAAACAAATGTAGAGGTAGATTTACGAACTGACACGATCAAGCGTGTGTATTTTTATTTATTAGGAATTCTCGATTCATCAGGTCATTGGCGGTCCGCGTGCTTTGATTGTATTACAATATTTTGACTAGGGGAGGCAAGTCCGATTTTGTCTAGTGTATATAATATTACCATTTTTTACCAGTACTCATGGACGCTAGAATGTGAAAACCCTTACTCGACTCAAGACAACATCAAAGACAGCCTGCTAACATTAAGACCCTCCGAAAGTGAGAGATTGACACCTAAATGTTTAAAAGTCATTATTGGCGGGTCGTTTTGAGTGCGCCATGAGTCTGCAGAGCTTCGGAAAAACTATCTTAACGCAAAAGATTCATGCGTTATAGTTTGAAGGGTAAGTCGGATTTTTTGCAATACGAGAGACGGGAAATTTATGTATCAACGGTGGTGTTCATGAGGTCCAATATCCATTTAATACCCGTTGGACTGTGACCTTTTTTGTCCGTCTCAATAATAACAAAGCAAAATCCTAGAATCTATGTCGTGAACACTGAAAACTAAAATGAAATTCCATTTTCTTTCAAAACTCCAGGAATGTTGACAATTAATTACGTTCAATATTCGACGTTATTGCCTTCAAATTATTCACACTCACTCGAGCAATATGGTACTGAACGAGTCTATCTCGATTGCGACCTTATTTATCGTCGTTTCTCCGAACTTTCATTAACTTCAGACAGTACGGTATTGGATAGACGTAACGAATTGGGTGGATTCCTCAATTAGCTGTAATGAGTTCGCAAAACGCGTGAAATAGCCACGATGCTTACTCAAGTGCTCATTTCATTGATGGAGCCATTACACTTTCGTAGATGTGAAACTATGTATGCGGCTTACGTTAATTGAACTCTCCCAACGGAGGCGGCGAAGTTTTTTGTGATATGCATCGGATCCTAATCTATCGATTAGATATTAAATTTAAAAAACAGTTCATTATCTTCTAATGCCTACTTTACGCCGTGCATACATCAAACGTGCCTCAAACAATTTATGGTAAAATTGAAACGAGAAATAGAAGTTCAATCATTTGAATTAATTTATGCATATCTTATGTACAAGTAGGTAATCAAATTATGATTACGTTTTGTAGTGATTATAATCGAAACTACTTCAAATCAAAATATTACTAGGTTCATAATAAATCATTGTTACAGTATATAAATTTGTTATTGAAAACGAATTTTGTTTTCTTTGAGATCGAATTTATTTGTTAATGAATATTTAGAGTGGCCCTTATGAAGAAACCGTTTAACTATATAAACAGTCTAGGTCTTGACTTCAATTGCGAAGAGCTTCAATTAAAAGGTTTAAAATTAGGTTTTCGGTAATCTCTCCTGTATTTGATAATCTGTTTTGCGAAGTTCAAATTATAATTTTATTTTACACGTAAATTAGCGAATACGCAAACACTTTATTTATGCAATAGACGAGTAGAATAGCTCATTTGTCAAACCTGATATTAAGTAGCTACTGAATTCTATAGACATCACGTAATATCTATAGACACACCACCACCACGCTATCTTGAGATATGAGGTCGTCTTAATTGTATTTTGGAATGACTGATCCACTTTAATATGGAGGCATAACCGCGTCGTGGCAGAAGTAAGGAAGGGCGCTAGTACGTACCTACCCATCGTGTAAACAAATGATTTTTTCTAATACAATGCAAATTAAAAGTGATAACAAAAAGTCAATCCGGGAAAAGTGGCACACGACCTGGAACCACGGTGTGTAGCATATTATGTTGGAATAAATTACATACCCCGAAATTTTTTATCGGTTTTTACGAGCTACAGATATCAATATACTGTTAATTATTTCTGCATCTAAACAAACTCAATCTCTAATCACTAATCTCAATAAATTATTTCATATCGCTTTATAGGGATCGAACACAATTAAAAACAATTAGGATTTAATTTTACTTCTTTTTATTTATATTAAATTTTCTGAATACGTCCTATATACTTATTTGTGTGGTTTGGTACAATATTGAAACTTAAAAAGAACGCAAACCCACACTTTGAAGACTTCTTCCTTTTACCTGAAATCGATTAAAAAGTTTGAGGTCGATTATCAGTATATCTGCGTTAGGCAGATTAGCAGTTTAGCGGTAGGCAGCAGCTTGGCTCTGCCCCTGGCATTGCTGAAGCCCATGGGCGACGGTAACCACTCGCCATCAGGTGGGCCGTATGCTCGTCTGCCTACATGGGCAATAAAAAAAAAAGCGTATTTGATTAATAGTAAAAAG